CCCCCCTCTCAGGAGAAGGGCGACTTCCCGGGGACCTACGTGGAGTTTCTCGGGAGGAAGAGGATGTCCCCGCCCACGCCGAAGCCCCGCCCCCCCCGGCCGCCGTCAGCGGCGTCGGTGAGGACGGACTCAGAGTCAGAGGGTGAGTAGTAGGGCTGCAACTAACGACTATTTTAATAGTCGACTAGTCACCGACTATTGAAACGATTAGTCGACTAATCGAATAGTTATTCACTTTTTCTTAAAAATAGCATAAAGTTGCTTTAGTTAAGTGGAAAATGATAAACACAAGAAAAATGGGTACTTCAATGAAAAATGCATCTTTTATTCAACTTTGCAGCTGATACAAAACGTAAATAAGAATGCGTTTGTCAGGCACAGTCAGGCATAACGTTAAAGCTCTCTTTTAAAGTGAAAAAACGCTTAGAAAATGTATAACGTACATAAAAGACAAAACATATTAGCATTATTGTTGCTTAAATCTTACCGAGGCGAGTCAGACTCCGTTTCATTTAAGTGCCCAACATGCTTTCTTTTTAAATGCTCATGCATCACCGAGGTGCTGCCGTGATACGCAAAGTCTGTTTTGCACACCTTGCACGTAATTTTTTTACTCGTTGTATCAAGGATAAAATGCTCCCAAACTTTGGAAGTTTTTGTACGCGTGTTGGACGCCGCCATTTCTGTAACCGCGACGCTGTTGTGCAGGTGACTCTGGGCAGATTGTAATTAAGTGAGATGTCTCACTCTGTTGGAAAAACACGTCTGGCGACAATAGTCGACAATGGAATTCATTGTCGACTTTTTCTATCATCGATTTTTGTCGACAACGTCGACGAATCGTTGCAGCCCGAGTGAGTAGCGCTCCGGTTTTCCTCAGATGGTTTTCCTCCTGTGTGGTTCCTGCTGGCTGAGCTGTTCTTCCTGAATCCGTTATGTGGCCTCATCATTAGTTCATGAAGGAAAAACTGTGTCAGCCTCAGACTTAGTTCAGCTTCTGTAACCGAGAGAAAAGGGAGGAGATCCGATTCCTGTTAGAGTCCCAAAATGTCCCCCTAACTAATTCAGACAGGAAGGAAAGAAGGAAGGAAGGAAGGAGAATAGAAAAAATTAATATAAAAAGGGAGGAAGATAGGAATAGAAGAAGGAAGGAAGATAGGAATAGATAAAGGAAGGAATAGAAAAATGAAAGAACAGAAAAAGAGGAATAGAAAAAGGAAGGAAGGAAGATAGGAATAGAAAAAGGGAGGAATAGAAAAAGAAAATGACAGAAAAGGGAAGAAATTGATGAAGGAAGCAAAAGGAGGAGGATTGGGGTGAAAGACTTTAAGTTGAATTTTTAATCAAACTGAATTAAAATTTAGACCTAAATGTGTTTTTCTTGAAGAAAGAAAAACAGATTAAAGTTTGGCCGCTAATCTTCTTGTGTTGGTTGTCCTCCAGGCCTGGTGCTGCCGGACCTCCCTGAGCAGTTTGGGCCCCCGGACACGGCCCCCCCCCTCCTCAGCAGACTGATGGAGGCCGTGGAGAACCGAGGTACCGACCAGAGCCCTCCAGCATCACTGCCCCCTGGTGGTGGGAGGAGGCAGGGCATGCTGGGCAGGGAGAACCGGTTCTGATGGGTTCTGATGTGGTTCTGTCTGATGTGGATCTGATGTGGTTCTGATGGGTTGCAGGTCTGGACAGCCCGAGCATGTACCGCGGGGCCAGCGGAGCGCTTATGGACGCCCGGCAGCTGGCCGACGCCGGTGAGGACTGTGACATCACTGTGACTTTAAAAAAGTCCCGAAAAAAACAGAAAATTACTAGAAAAGGGCACAAAATTCCCCAAAAGTCCTGCAAAAAACAGAAAAATGACACAAAATTCCAAAAGATTCAGATAGTAAGACAGAAAATGATCAGAAACTGACACAAAATTCCCCAAAAAACAGAAACTGACACAGAAACAGACACAAAACTTAAAAAAAATCCAGCAAAAAGATAGAAAATGATCAGAAACTGACACAAAACTAAAAAAAAGTCCAGCAAAAAAACACAAAATGATCAGAAACTGACACAAAACTTCAAGAATGGAAACAAAAATAACCAAAATGTGGAGCAAAGACTGATTAAACTGTGACTTCATTCACGGTGACCTCACGGCGACGCCGCTGACCCGGGTGCGTTTGCTTTCAGACCTGGAGCAGCTGGAGGCGCCGGCCCTGTGTGACGGTGTGGTCCGGTTCCTGCAGGACCTGCCCGGCCCCGTCCTGCCCGGCTCGCTGCAGGCCGACATGGTGCAGGCCGTCCGAGGTCAGTGGAGCCCAGGGGGGGTGGGGGGGC